ATAACAGGTATGTGTTTATGCATATACAGAAGTACCGTACGGGTAGCTTTACCAAATGGACGTCTCCATTCTTGTACTTAAGGATTAACTGGACCGGCTCCGTAGCAGAGCCCACGTTCCATACAGAGTGGGAGGCACAAATACTGCAAAATATGATGTGGGAATTGATCCACAACGCACGAAATGAATTGTTCTGTTCATCTATTGTTTATTTACGACACAAGTAGTAGCTCAGATTACATAATGCTGAATGATAGGAAGATCAACAAATAAAGAAGTGGAAGAAATTTTGTAAGAAAATTGTAATATCCTAATTTTAGATGTACTATTCTGGTGTTTGTCTAGTACAGAATTATAGAAACATGTTGTTTATGGAACTATAAGGTTTATTTTGGACCCTATCCATCGTCTGGTATATATAAGACAAAAACCACAAAGTTTCGGAGACTGGGTCTGTCTCTGTCCTCAAGTGGTCCAGTGATTGAGACTAGCTCTTTCTAACGGGCCAAACTGAGTAGGTCTATCTTGCCCAATCCACCTGAGGACGGAGACAGATCCAGTCTCCGAAACGTTGTGTTTTTTTTGTTTTGTTTTTTTTTTTTTGTATATACCAGACGATGGATAGAGTCCAGAATAAGACTTATAGTTCTGTACAGCATAAATCATCGTCAGAATTCTTTCAAGTCTAAATGTTGTTTATCGTTTCGACAAATAATTTATTCATAAATCTATCATCTGCTTTTTCCATTCATTTAATTTTTAACGAATGCCTACCAGTAATTTCTGTTTATCTCCCTACACAGTAGCCTTTTCTCTTGAGTGTTCTCTTCAGTGGCTTTGTAAACAACATAATCATTATACATGCAAGATATCGCCAACCGTATTTCATCTAGTATCTTTATCATCGTCATCTTCATCACCATGAACATCATTATAATCATTATCATCACTGTCAAAACAGAACTGTTTGATCCATAGCCTTCCTTACAAGATACAACTAGATTGCATTCAGTTTTCACTTCTTTCGAATTGGCAGCAATAATTGTTTACACAGCAAGGTCGTCAGCCTCCCAACGTGGAGGACCAAGTCCCTGTATATACATCCACCAGTGATAGAGTGGCCCAGTTATACCCCCAGGCACTGGGTTCACTCTTCATCGTCTTCTACGACTCGCGGGGCTATGGTGGAAACATTCTAACCTGCCTCCACAGGAGGAGGAATTTTTTTTTTGCTAGAGGGGTGGGACTAAGTCCCTTGTACTGTCGCCACTTCTGGCCTATTGTACCAGCCCCAGATGATAGGTGACGGTAATTATCGAGCAATTTGTGGAATGAAAATTGGCAGGGGAAACCGAAGTACTAGGAGAAAACCTGCCCCAGCGCCACTTTATCCACCACAAATCCCACTTAACCAGACACGGGATCGAACCCGGGCCGCCGCGGTGGGAAGCCAGCGACTAACCGCATGAGCTATGGCGCGGCCAGGAGGTATTAAGGTAAAGCTGATCCTGTGCTTAACTAATTAAGCACTATGACTTGAAGACGTATGGGCCAGTGGGTGTATAGATCCAGGTTTCCTTGATCTAAACACTAGTTGGAGATGGATTGTGAGCTTCACGTCCCGGCCGTTTTACCTCCGCGGAAAGAGACCCCGCTACCCATGGGCCTGGAGGCTAGGTGAGTCTCAGAGCTTGTCTGCACGAAGTGGGGAGAAGGAATTTTAGAGCCTTATTGCGCAACAACTCCTCAACTTCTCGCTGACGACCGCAAAACATGAAGTGATATTCACACTACGAACCGCATCTGCGCCTATTGACGACGAGTTTTAACGTTTAGGTAGTCTCCAGGGGTCGTATTAATTTGGGGTACAGGCCCTAAATAATAGCGACAGTTGCCAAGGAATTGTCTTATTTATTATGTAATTTATGTCAGACAGAACATGCCAAATCAATGTTTTGTAAAATTCCTTAATGTGAGAACGCAGGGTGCAAATTTATTTGAATTTGTAGCATTGTATTCGGTATATTCATCGGTTGGAGAAAATTAAAGCATGAAAAGTGGCAAAGAACTTATTCGGAAGATGTACTCTTGCAATGGAGCCGGCTATTCAGCTAGCGGACCGCGAGACTCCTTGCACTAGCCCGCAACTGAATATATAATTTAAAATGATATTTTCTTTACATCATATTTGATTTAATAAAATATTTAATGTTTCAGTACACAATGTCATGAAATTGTTTTAAATCTAATTTTATATCTTTATTTAAATATTAAGCTTGTAGTGGTGAAACTGAAGTCCGGTATTATAGCTTTCCCAAATTAGTCCAATCTTAATTTTTAATTATATTTCCTTTTTACGATACTTTATTATATACGTGACACATACGAAAATGTATGCTTGCTGTGACCCTTGCAATATAGCCTATTTTGAGGTTCTGACGGATTTGCATGCTTTTCAGCCACGCTGATTACAAAAAGTTTGTCTGTCTGGCTGTATGTATGTATGTGATCCTCGCGAGCACCTAAACACTTAGACAGATTTTATTCTTATTTGGTATATAAAAGCAACCGTCACAGATTAGTGTGCGGTGAATATGAATACTCTAGCCCAAAAGTAAGAATCCTTAAAATGGGCTTCAAAAATCAAAATGTCGATTTTCTCGAAAATCGCCTTAGTGATCTCTGTTAAATTTCACCAGTTTATGTAGACCGTCTCCCTAAATAAAATTGCATAGGCGATTTCTGCAGGGAAATAACGGTATCTGCACTAGGTACCCAAATTCGGAACGTCGATTTTGTCGAAACCATCTTTACCGGTAAGAGAGATTTTATTATTGCGCCATATGTAGCAGAGAGCAATCGTCTACCGAGTAAAAATCGATTTAGTTTTCATTGCAACTCAGTCAATGTTATCTTATTTTAAACTAGATAATTTCACCAAAATATGCTAAATGAATATACCCTGCAGCAGTGCAAATTTATTCTCCATTTTCTTGGTCCCTTAATGGACCAGTCTAGGAAAACAGTTTAATACATACATACATAATTTCAAGGAAAATGTAGAATGCTGGAACAGGAAAAAAAGATATGTCAACAAAGTTAGGTAGTTTTTCCCTACATGTTTTCATTTTTCTTTTTATTTTTTCGAGGAATCTTACTGATTGATTGAATAATCAATTCTCAGATTGTTCAATGACGACCTTCCGGGTATCGATGTTGTGACATATATAAAGTTCAATGAATGAACAGTGTTTATTTACATTAAGTACATGGAATTTGGAAGGCGAGGGTCGTGGCGTATTTCAGAATGCCATCCCATCATAATTCCAGAGCGATTCTGAGGGAAACCAGGAACAGCGGGATAGTCATTAGGCTGGCTGAGGTTTGGAAGGGTAACTTTTAAAATATAGGCCTGTTCCAACTTCGTCCACGATATATGTAAGCAATGTCCGTCTTTTAGTGCACTAAAAGACGGACATTGCTTACGTATATCATGGACAAAGATCAGTGCAACAGGACGCTAAAATACAACATTACTGTTCCAATTTGATTCATATTCGAGAGGTCCGAGGATTAAAATTTGGCTCCTAGACCGGCCACCCTGAATTTTCTCGCGAGGTTTCCCCTTTCTCTAGACAAATTCTGGCGCAATATCTCTAACCAAGTCATGACTGCTAATTTTCCTAATACTCTGACTAGTAGAAACTCTGTCTCAGAGTCATGTTTGACTGAGATAAATGAAACTGATTGCAGGTTCTTTGAGCGACCCAGAGAAGATGCATGAGTTGGAAAGAATTGTCGTGGCGTGCGTGTCAGTCCTGGCCGCCATGTTCATCTGCCGCGCTGAAGAGGCCGGAGAACAAGTGACTTACGATCAGAGACAAAATGGAGACCGTAATATCCACGTACACGTGCAGGACGTCGGTATTCTGGCCTTGCTAGATGAAAGTCTGTTCAGTGGTGGATACGGGGTAAGTGAACGTACGGTCTCACAGACACTTGTACTGCACCATACCGCACTTCATTCTAGCGCAAATTAACTTATAAATACTCTGAGATACTTTATATAAGTAGATTAAGTAACGAGGCCGAGACCTTGAGGCAGTTTCATACCCCATCCAAGGAATCTCAACAAATATCTAAAACGGTTTCATAGTTTCAGAAGTTTCTTACATAATTTTGAACTGGAAGATGCCAAGGGGTCTGATCCGTAAAAGTCGAAGAAGAGGAAGAAGAAGAAATATAGGAAGCTATGTAATATATGAATATACAACGTAGTCTCTCATTTTAAGAGAACATATTGAGCATATTTTTCTGAGCAGAATATTTGGAACTAATTTTTTTAATGCTAGTGGGGTGGGACTAAGTCCCTTATACTGTGGCCACTTCTGGCCTATTGTACCAGCCCCGGATTATAGGTGAGGGTGATTGTGGAGCAATTGGTTGATTGAAGATTGGTAGGGGAAACCGAAGTACTCGGAGAAAACCTGCCCCAGTGCCACTTCGTCCACCACAAATCCCGCTTGACCACACCCGGGATCGAACCCGGGCCGCCGCGGAAGCCAGCCACTAACCGCTTCAGCCATGGCGCGGCCTCTAGAACCGAGTTAGTACTTCAAATTAGGCCAAATATTTTAGAAAGCAAATGACAAATAACTTAGAGTGTGTGCACTTCTTTCCTTGTTGTGACTGGAGGTCCACTGTGTAATTTTAATTGAATATTCTCAAATAACATAAAAGTGTAGATTTGTTTTCGTGGGCTGATCGTAGACTTGAGAGTGTGGGATGAATTTAACTGACTCAGAAATGGGTCCAAAAACGGCCTTTTATGACCACACAACCTGTGACCAAGTAGAGTCTACCAAACTGACAGTCATATCTTCACTCGAATATCATAATACAAATGACACCGGACTGTGGAAACAAAGATTAGCAGTAGCAGAACTGAGACGATGTATCGACTTCGATAAAACTGAAGCCTTAGAAACATCTACACTTACCGTCCCCACATCATCATGGAAGCCATCGAAGTAGTCAAACACTGACACAAATTCAACCCTCTCGACCCTCTTGACGGACATGAACAGAGCAAAGCGTGGCTTCACTTCTTCCCCACGACCCCTCTTCCTAGCTAAATGGCCCTTTTCCATTGGACAGCCCCCTCCTCTCCTTTACATCGATCCACTTCTTCCTTCCATCTAATTAGCCCTGAAGATGGCGACTTTAATGTACGCAGAAATTTTGGAAGAGCTTCAACATACCAAGCGATAAATCCATTCAATAAGCGACTGTGTAAAGACAGAAGCAAGAACACACACTCTGCTACTCGGTACAGACTTTCAGTGGGGCTGTAGTCATTATACTGGCAGATGATTTCTGGAAAGTTTTACAGAACAGTGGGTGAAAGGGGTTGCGATCCCATCGGTGATCTGAATGCTGACCCTAAATACCACGATTGCTAGAATGTTTGTTGTTATAGAGGTCCTTCATTTAAAACAAACAGTTTCAATCTCTAACAGAAATGAGTACCAGGAATTAAATAAATAATTTTCCTGGGGAGTAGAGCGCCGCCGGCGCGTACGGCTGACAACTTTACCGCCATCTATGAGCGGATTGTCTAGATAGTGTGGGACCCTCAACGTCTCACAACCCTATGGGACTTCACGGCCTGGTACAGGGATAGCTTTACTGTTTTTTTTTTTTTTTTACTTTTATTAATATTTGATCAAACATCTGACGACGGTGAGGGTCTTCTAACATGTGACTGCGTGTAGTCTAGTATAAATTTCGGAGGAACGTACTTTGCTGTTTGCTATTAGCTCTTAACCTGTTTGGCTTATTGTTCCACCCTGAAGATGAAGGCAGTAATTTCCTCCGAAACGTCCATAAGCTTCCACCAGACTACAAGTCGTCACGATCCGGAAGATATTACCCATCATCAAGGTTGTTATTTACAGCAGTATGACTACAGCTATGATTACCAAGACCCAGAGGATCCAGCACAGGGGGTGAAGCCGTCCAACCAGGAGACCCCGTCAACATCGTCAGAGTCAACTCCGTCTGTAAGCGACACATCGACAGAGGCGTCTTCAACCCCAAGCACGGCTGTGCTGTCGGATTCTGCAAAGACAACCGTAACAAACGATGAACCTGCCAGCACCACCACCGTCGCTGTGGAAACAGAATGCGACGACAAAACAAAGACACACACCAAGTGCCCTGGGCTTAAGGATGAAACCTCGGAGGGAGGCGACAAACAGCAGGAGGCTGTGTCTCTTATTGCGATGTTGTTACCGCAACAGGGTTCTGGGAGACGACGATGCAGTCCAGGTTTCTTCAGGGACAGTCGAGGCAGATGTAGAAGGCACAGGAAACCCGGCTACCTTGCACTGCAAACACTGCCGCTAGATCTGCCGTGAGTTCATACACTGACATAATTAGTTGCAGGAATGAGGGTAAAATTAAGATTTTTGGTACTGCGGTCTCAGACGGGGCATTTGTACAAACCCACGGTGTTAGATGAGCACAGATAATTTTCAGGCGAACATCGAAGCCTTTGAAGAAGAATCTGAACCTTCCATTTTACCATTTGGCCGAACACAAATCCAAAATTAACGACTTTAGAACTGAACATGGGCCTCCAAGTTGAGAAATCGGAGACTAATCTCCTGAGTTATGGCACTGATCCAAACTTACTAATTTGTTCTTGATATGTTTATTTGTGACCGCCTCTATGGTCTAGTGATCAGAGTTCCAGGCTACAGATCCAGAGGGCCCGGGTTCGATTCCCGGCGCTACCAGATTTTCTGAGAAATAGTGGGTCTGGAACGGGGTCCACTCAGCCTCGTGAGGATATCTGAGGAGCTACTTGAATGAAAAAGTAGCGGCTCCGGTCTAGAAAACCGAAATTAACGGCCTTGGAGATCCGTATTGCTGACCACTCAACACCCTCTATCCGCTAAAGTTGGCACTTACTTCGCCGACAAGCGGCGGTCGCTCGGTCGGTATAGTTCGCTTTCGGACTAAAGTCTCGGAGTTATGTGTAGTTGTGGTTTACTTAAAGACGTTGTCAGTAGCCCAGACTACGTAGGTTCGAACTGTGAGATGCTTAATGAATAATGAATTTGAAAGGATGTTGAGAAAATTTGTAGCGAAGAGAGATGAAGAGACAGGAGGTTGGGGAAAACTGCATAATGAGAAGCTTCATAAATTATACTATTCTCCAAGTAAAATTAGAATGATCAAGTCAAGGAGGACGAGATGGGCAGGGCATGTAGCACGAATGGGGAGAAGAGGAATGGGCATAGGATATTGGTGGGAAAGATAGAAGGAAAGAGACCACTGGGTAGACCAAGGCGTAGGGTAGTGGACAATATTAAACTGGACCATAGAGAGATAGGATGAGATGGGATGGATTGGATTGATCTTGTTCATGATAAGAACCAGGCGAGGGCTCTTGTGAACACAGTAATGAACCTTCGGGTTCCATAAAACGCTGAGAATTTCTTGAGTAGTTGCACAATTGGCGGCTTCTCAAGAATGGCTCATCTCCATGAATGAGTGGAAGGAAGAGACCATATTTTATTTTGAGCAGCGCTATTCTAAAATTTGTTTAGAGAAACTGAGTCAAATCATAAAATGTTTCCGTCACTATGCCCAATCTCCTGGTCGAGATCCAAACCGGGCTCTCCAAGAATGCACAAGTCAGAAATGTTCAGCCATCTTTCCAGACATCCAAATAAGTAGAGACGTTTATATGAATACACTAAGGGCTTTCTTTAAAAAGCTACAGCTGTTGCAATTTCAACTTTCATGGTAACGTCTTAAATATTTATTCAGTTTAACAGATTGTGCATAAGAAGAAAACCGGGAAATCTATTAAAATTTCTTTATTTTTCTTCCTTTCATGAGGTGTCCGAAATTGCCCCCATGTTCGTGTACACACAAGTCAGCTCTGAGTGAAAAAGAAACTTGCAATCGTTCGAAGATTCCTGGTGTATTTTTTATTTCACTTTCAAATTGTTAAATTCGACGCCACATTTCTTCCCTAGTATGGACTCTGCTAGCACAGACACTGGTTATTAAACATCCCCACACACACAAAACAGAGAGGTTTCAAACCAGGTGAGCGTGGAGGCTAGAGGGCTCGAGACTCACGTCCTCGACCAGTCCAACATCCAGGATAAATTTCGGACAGTTTTGACGTGCCTCATGACTGTAATATGTTGGTGCACCGTTGTGTTGAAATCAAGTGTGAAGACTTGCACTGACAGAAGTAGCTTCCAGTGAGTGAAGTGTGTTCGAAGTTAATCACGGCCAGAAGCTTGTGCTGTTAAAGAGTGAGGGCCAACTGCAGCGCATAGTTGTACAGAAAACTGTTGTCGCTTTTCTATCCTTCAGAATATGATGGTAGGAACTGGTACTTTCTAACTGCTATAACTTTTAAGGAAGGTCCTTTTGGCTACATATCAATATTCAAATTTACTTATTTTAATGTACAGAAAACTTTTTCTGTAAAATAGGATATATAACTGTAGGACATTTCTGATTCTAAACAATATAATTATCTTCGCAACAATGAGTTTATATCTGCAATAAATTAACACCGAATTCAGTATGAGACGCAAAATTGTAGACAGCACTTTTAGGAAGCATATGTGCTCATCAGAATACAGCTTCTCTCTTGTCTTCTATGTCTAATTGTGACCATGCTACTGTGTTTTGTTTTTCAGATTTGGTATACAACTAGCGTCGCAGCCTGGGTGGAAATGAATGGCGGAGTGTAATATATGCAGTCACATTAATTATTGTTGTGAGAATAATTTGTAAACTATAACGCGTAAGGGAAGTTGTTTAGGGGTCCAGACTCTAAGCAATCATATTAACAATGCTCAAGGGGAAAAGTTCTATAGTTGGTTAAGGGGCTACGCTATAAGCCGGAAGGTCGCAGGTTCAAGTCTCGATTAGGTCATTGGATTTTTTTCGAATGACCTAATCCTTCCAGCCGCACTAGGCCCTGGGGTTTACTTAGCCTCTTACAGGAATAATTAAATAATTTTCCTGGGGAGTAAAGCGCGGCCGGCGCGTAAGGCTGACAACTTTACCGCCATCTTTGAGCCCATTGTCTAAATAATGTGGGACCCTCAACGTCTCACAACCCTATGGGCCTTCACGGCCTGTTACAGGGATAACTTTACTTTTTTTTTTTTTTTTACTTTAGAGATGAAAATGGAGTTAGAGGAAGTGGGAACTTCTAAAGGATGATGGTGGGTGTCTTGATGGGCGATTTGGTTCCGGGATTTCTGAAGGTTCTGGTGTAGGTTTGTGTCAAAACTAATCACAAGAGGATTTTAGTTTTTGTTTTGTGTTCTTATCTCGTCATCATATTATTTTTCTTTCTTTTGTTTTCTCTTTTCATTTACAATCTTTTCATTCTTTTCCCTGAACTTCNGAACTATCTTTTCTGGGAATTACGGATGTGGAGACAACATACAAATACAATTACCCATATCTTGTGTTCTTATCTCGTCATCATATTATTTTTCTTTCTTTTCTCTTTTCATTTACAATCTTTTCATTCTTTTCCCTGAACTTCTTCTTCTTCTTCTTCTTCTTTAATGTTTTAACGGATCCACAGCGTGGTCAGGAAATAGAAGCGTTTCAGCATATGACGCAAGCATTTCTGGGGGAGCTTATGCGACAGGGAACTCGAAATCCCCATTTCTTTTGCAGTTGCGGGGGAAACTAAAATAGAACTGACACTTCCAAAAAGGAACTCGATGAATTAAAACCGTAAGTTCAGCACATGTAGCTCAATGAATGACTTTTATGTATATATTTCAGCTATGTAACTCGTAATTGTATCATTTCCTTCCATCAAATTTGTCTATCTTTATCGAGTGCTACATCATTTTAACAAATTCCTTAGAAAAGTACTTGAATCCCTGACCAGCTCTGATGTTGCCAGTAGAAAGTGTTCATGATATAGGAAGTATGTTATTACGTAATTTAGGAACACATAGGATAAATTTAACGCAATTTCTTGAAGTGTTTATTTTGATATACAACACACTTAAACCATTAAATTATGTCAGTACTGAATATTCAGTCTCAACAGCTCTTCATAGATGGCTCCACAATATCTAAATTT